AACCAGTTGAGTGCCGCGTATCTGCAAAATGCATAATCTTGATGATGATCCAGATCTATGCCGTACTCTAGTGGCACATTAAAGGTATCCATGGTGAGGTACTGAAGGCATATATCGGCCAGCCATGCTTCTGCCTCGCTATCAGACACATAGAATTGACTAGCCGGACTTTGCTGGATAGTAGTGGAGGTAAGATATTCCTCTAGGGTAAAATGGCATAGTCTTATCAAACTGCGCTGATCTTCGGAACTTTCAATCCGTATGAGTGTGGAGATAGGTTCCAAAGCGTCGTAAGGATCTGTGACCACGGCATCATGATCCAAGTCGCGCTCATCGGGTTGCATGGCCAAGATCTCCGCTAGCTCGGGAGCAGTCAATGGTGTCGCAGCAGCAATAAGACACCGGAACAACTTTTGTACCTCTTCAATCCTTGTTGGGTACCGCGTCGCGATATCGCACAAAAGTGCTTCGTACGTGTGTCCAAGCCCATGCGGTAAGTTTTGCACGATGATCTTGATCTCTTTATCTGACTTCGCCGTACAAATGTAGTCAATCTTCAGACGCGCCTGTAGCATCCTGCATTGCATTAGTAATCTATCATGACGGGTAGATTAATAGCCGTGAAGGTAGGTGGAAGACCAGAGGACGCAAGACGTAGGAGACTTACGTGCCCGCACGGAGGACGACCTGTTGTTGTATTGATGACAAAGTGTCTTTGTTCTTGACTTTGAGCACACCTTTTGCGACGCGCGCCTGAATTTCTTCCGCAACGTAATGCTGGATGTCGGGACGCATGTTCTCTGCAAGAATGACATGTGTCGTAGCAAGGTTGGGATATCGTCCCGGGATAAGAGCATCAAATCGGCTCGTCAGAAGAATCTTGATTCGGCACCTTGCGCCTTTCTGGGACTCGTGAATTCTCGCAAGACTTCGGGCTATGCTATCACCCTCAGTGGACTCATCGAGCGCGTCCAAGATGATAAAAACATTCTTTAGATGTACCACAGATGAGCAAATCAGTGGGAAGTAATCGTCGCTTTGGAAAGGGCGACTGCCTTCCTTAGATTTCTCGTTGTAGAGTAATCTGCCTTGTTCGAGACACAAAGGTGAAGCTTCCATCATTTGTCTCGCAACACTTGAAGCAAAATTCTCGTGTGTCAGTTTCGCGCGATCGCGATGATCGCAGAAGAAGTATAAAACTGCGGCGGTATCCGTACAAAGCCGTTGAATGTGTCGAATAATAGAAGCGCAGAGGAGCGTTTTGCCTGCTCCAGGAAGACCAGTAATCCACATGGTGCCAGAATCCGAGTCTTTCCAATCTTGGAACTCCTTTGAGTGCAAGAGCCATTCTCCAGTACCAGGAATATGGCGACTCAAAGCGCTCGCAAGACTGGCATGCGCGCCATCGGACGGCGTTGGACAGACCCACGATATTACCTTCTGTGTTTCCTCACGACTCATCTGCGCACGGAGCTGCTCAGACATGTTCTTCATCTCGTCTGATATGAGGCCTTGTCCTACTTCGATGCGCCGAATTGCCGATCTGTGGAACTTTAGGCCAGATACTCATCAGAAATCATGCATACTCACGCAGAGTTGGCCTCGATAGCATTCGCAAGTAATCCGCGCATGTGATGAAGCCTATGCAGGGCGTCTTTGGTTTCTTTCTCTTTGAAAGGCCACATTAACTTTCTAACAAAGTTCTTCGCATCCTGACCATTGACCTGCTCGCATTTCGCCAGCGCCCGCTCGATCGACTTGAGCGTGGATTGACATTCTTGAAAGACGCCGACCCGTTCAAGAGCCTGCAGCGCATCGTCTGCAGCTGCTTTGGGCGATGTATCTGCGATTTGTTGAATTTGCGCGAGAAGGCTGTTAACGGCCGCGGTTTCCGTCAGAAGACTCCGGATCTCGCTGGGCGCTCGCGCGACCTTCGATATGAAGTTGTAGCCGCCAGCGAGTAGGGCACCGCTCAGTTGGACAAGCTGAGCGACAGATGCAACCGTGCCAACGACCTCAGCCATGACAAGTGGTCAGCAACGGATGCATGTGATCGATGGCTGTAGGTGCGCGCAGTGTAGGAGTCTAGGATGGTAGGCGCGTCAGAGCTGAAGTTCAGCGCGAAGGCGGGGAGGGACCCCAGCCACTTCCCTAACGGTCAACCTTCAACCTTCAGTACTTTCAAGGTTGCATCTGAAGAACAGGGTTAAATTTGTAGTCGCGGCTTCACATGAGATCAAAACGATAAGGCGCTACATTCGTTCTGCAAATCGACACATCATCAAACATCCCTCCGCGACTCTTCAACAGGCCGCTCCTCCTCTGCCTCATTTCTCCTGTCATACGCCTCCGCCAACCCGTTCAACTCCCCCAGATCCTCAATGAGTATAGTGACGTTCTGTTTTGCCATCAGCAGAAGAGCATCGAGTTCCTTCTTCTTAAGAGAGCCCTGCGTTACTTTTCCAGTCGGCAGAGGCGGGGCGACATAGCCTTCTGGCTTACAAAAGTCTAAAAGCCCGCCGTCTTGAACACTGGGAGTCGGAGTGCGCTTGAAGATGCATGCCAAAGGACTACGATACGTTTCACGCCTTCTCTGAATGTCGAGAAGTGTGCGCCAAACCTCCCATTCACGCTCCCAGCATCCAGTCAGAACTTTGGTGCTGAAATCTGCTATGCGTTTTAGCTCGGTAATCTCGTCTTGTAAGCTGCCATTTTCTCGATCAAGTTCCCTGATCTGCAGGTGGTTCTCTTCAAGCTGCGTGCTGAGCTGCGGAATGAGATCTTCTTCTAGGCCCCAGACGCGATCTTGCAGACCGTATACAGCAGCATGTAACCTTTGGACAAGACGCACTACTATTGGAATATCTGATGCGGCATTACTGGGCGGCACAAGTGCAGGGAATGGTGGCAGATGCGGAGGTGCCGAGTCCTGGACGACGTCGTAGTGGAGGGCGAGCTCGGAAGGTGTTAGTAGCGAACAGAGGAGGTTGAAGACGTGCTCTGGCACGTTGTCGGGAAGCGCAGGCGGGTAGTGGAAAGCATCATTACCCGAGTCCCCGCTAGAGCTTGATGGGGGATAGTAGCCTGGATGTACACCATTCGTTAGTTGAGCTGGGCTCTCGTCACTGCCTCCTCGTAAAGGCATATTATTGGGCGTGGGAGAGCGATAGAGAGTGCGGCTTGAACTTGAATCGCTGTGATGTCCAGGACTAACACCATTTGTTAGCGGTGGCGGCTGCTGCTCTTCACTCCTCCTAATATCTTCTAGTGACGGCGATGGAGGTGTCTCCTCAGCATAAATGCGATCATAGAACGCACTTCCAGCAATTGGGTAACTGAAGTTTGGAACAAGACCGGCGTCTGCCATTGTGATGGGGTGAGCATCTCCATTCCTAGATTCAACAGTGGTAGAGTTTTGACGCACTCTCTCTTGAATCCTTGTTCTCGTGGCCGGATCAACACCATCATTGCGAATGATTCTGTTGAGCGCTGTAAGCCATGTTAGTAATTCAGGTTGCCCTGTCCGGTCCGAAAAACCATTTGGTAATTCCGTAGGGAGTTCCGCTTGAGCTTGCGTATGTAAAGAATCTGCTGGAGCAGGCGGGGGTAATGGATCCGTCCGCAATGTCGCATTAACAGTCGTTTGAGTCGGAACTGTTGGATGCAATCGTGCTGCAGAGGTTGTCGTTGTCGGTAAATTGTGTACCGCGCTTGACGCATTTATAGTGGCCTGTCCACCAGGATCACCGAACTGACGACTATCTGAAGGAAAGTCCATGAAACCATCCCACTCACTAGTACCTGGGGTGATCGGCGCCCTCGGTGGAGATGGTTGTCCTGGAAGAGAAGGCCGCCGCTCTGGAATCTGTGTTCGCCGAACAGTAGGAGTTCTGCCGTTTCGCTCCTCCCATCGCCTAAGATTCTCCGTATTTTGCGCGGAAGTCAGATACTCACTCGGTACAGGCCTTGGATGCTGTGTTTGCCCAGCCGCAGCAGACTTGTTGTTCTTCTCTTCCCATCTCCTTAGGTTTTCTCTGTTCTGTGAGGCCGTCAAGTACTCACTCGGTACTGGTCTTGGAGGGAGCTTCTGCTCTGCTTGTGTTTTTGGACGCCGGATTGGAGTCCTATGCACCTCCTGCCGGAGCTCTCCACCTGGTGGACCAGCGTATATTGGTTCAACGTCCGAAGCTAGCATGATGCTGTTGAAGAAGAGCTGCTCTCGTGGGTATATATGGCCTCGGTACGGACCCCTATCGATGATCACCGGAAGCTCGTCAGGCGAGTCGCTACTTCTGGGCCCAATACGTCCGTCATCGAGGTCATTCTCAATTTTGTCGAGAGCCCTTTGCCTCTCCTTCTCGCGTTGTGTTTCTAGCTGCCTCGGTGTAGGGGACGGCTCATGGATCGTGTAATAATGAGTAGGGCGTCGGAATGGGTGTTTGAGTCGCTGAAAGGATGGCATCGTCGTGGTTTTAGACTGGGAGTTAGGTGGCGGAGATACTGGACAGGAGATCAGAACTTGAGTGTTCATGGTGAGGATACATGCTGGGCTGTTTGGCAGTTCCATGTGCTCGGTTGTGACAAAGGGGCGTTTGTGAACGCGCTGGATGAACATTCGCTTCAATGCAATCGCAGAGCGGTGCGTGGCCATGGTGATAACTGGACACGTCGATCCTCGGCAAAGGTGATATCGATGGTTTGGAAGGGACAACACAGACAGAGCACAGTCCATGCGGTAAGGTTAGAACGGAGTAGAGGGGTACCGTGATATGTTGAAGCCTGAAGGTATTATTGCCGACGGCGTTATAAATATACACTACTTGCATTGTAATCTCTTGCAGCGAGATGCTTACTGTGAAGCCATGATCGTTCTTCCGGGTATGCAACAACCGTAAATGCGCCATGAAAAAAGAAGAAACCGCTCCGTGGCTATGCAACCGCGAGAATGCAGATGAAACGCCCCCATGCCGTGTGATCGTAAACCGTAACGCCGAAGAACCTCAAAACCTCTTCTTCGCCTTGGCAGCCATAGCCGCCAACTTCTTCTTACGTTCTTCTTTCTCACGCTTCAACCGATTTTCCTCCGCTAGTGCCTCCGCGTCTTCCTTCTTAGCAACCTTGAGTGCTATCTGTTCTTCTTCTTCTACGTCCCAGATACCGCCCTCCATATCAGAAGAAGCGTCAGAGGCATAGTCTTCTTCTTCGTCCTCCATCTCACTAAGCTCGTCCCAGTCTGCGTAACCGTCATATCTTCCTTTGCCTGGGTTCGGTTTGGCCTTGACGGCTGGTGTGCCGTTTCGACTAGACGTTGCAGGTGCGCTTGTTGGACGGGCGGTTCCCTTGTAGCCAACCTCAACAGGCTTCTTGGCAGGTCGTGCTGTGCCTTGATAACCAACTTCGACAGCCTTCTTCTTGTCTTTCGATGGATCAGCTTTCGGGTCTGTTGTTCTTGAGGGTAATCCAGCGACAGGCTTCTTGCCCTTTGCGCCGGCACTTGCTTCTGCTTTCAGTGCCAAGCGTTCTTTTCGTGTAAGGATCTTTGTTGGTTCATGCTTGATTGGTGGGGCGATAGGCTTCGTTGAGTCCTTCTCTTTCGCCTTCTGAAGCATAGCGAGATATCCTTTCTTGGGTGCGGCAGACGAGGCGGGTGTTGAGGTGGTGGCGGCGGGCGCAGGCTTGGGTGCAGGAGCTGCAGCCTTCGGTTTGGCAGCGGGTGCGTTTGACGACTGTAGGGGTTTTCGCACGGGGGGATTCGCCGGCTTTGAAGATGCTGGTGCAGCAGTGCCACGATACGGGACGGCGGTGGTAGAGGCGGACGGAGTCGGTTTCGACGTGGCAGGCGATGAGGTGGCGCGCACGGCACCATTTGCCTGCGCTGATCCCCCGACAGCCTCCTTCCTCTGTATCTTGACCTGTGTACTCTCGACTGGACCCGAGGCCTTGCGCTTCAGCTGGGGGGTTTGCGAGGCGCTATTCGCCCCTCCGATCGGTCGCGGCGCTGGCCTAGGGGCTCCGGCGGGCGGGCCTTGCTTCGAAACCGTCGCCTGCGTCTTCGCGCCCGTACGGTCGATTATAGACATGATGTCTTTGAGAGACTAGATGATGCAGTCAGCATACGACTGCTGGCGGGGATGAGTCGCGAGACTCACACTCATGATGGGCAACTGATAAGCGTTTGACTCAGGCTACCGGTCGTCAAATCGATTGGAGGACAAGTTGTACATGCTTTCCAGGTGAGATTCGCCGGTGTCGATAGTCGGCGATGACTGATCACGCGCGCGGAGAGGAGGATGGGCGCACGGGACCGGTCGTGGATTGAAGAGGGGAGCGGCCAGAGAATGAGCGGTCGGCGGCGGCGCAGACAAGTCGCTTTTATACATGGCTTTGCGCCTAGCCCGACGACACGTGACAAGGCGGGCGTCTTGCGCTAGTCGCATTGCGGCATAGCCCAGGTAGCGAGATCCCACCCGAAGTCAATATTCGCGGACCTCGAACTTTTCTTTTCTACGACAACCTACAGAAGAACTTGTAGCTTCAGTCTCCGGCCCCGACGGTACGCACCACTTTGGAATCGCATCTAGCAGCGCAATACTGACAAGCGCAGGTTAAATCGATTGAACTCCTGTTCCAGACAAACCACCCCAACAATCACAATGAAGCACCTCGCGGCATACCTCCTTCTCGGTCTCGGTGGAAACACCTCCCCCTCCGCCGCTGATGTCAAGGTAAGAGGGAATCGTCCTGTACAACTCGCTATACCACGTTCTAACAACGCAATAGGCCGTCCTTGAGTCCGTCGGTATCGAGGCTGACTCCGACCGTCTCGACAAGCTGATCTCCGAGCTTGAGGGCAAGGACATCAACGAGCTCATCGCCTCCGGTTCCGAGAAGCTTGCTTCCGTTCCCTCTGGCGGTGCCGGTGGCGCTGCCGCTTCCGGTGGCGCTGCTGCCGGTGGCGGTGCCGCTGAGGCTGAGGCCGCTCCCGAGGCCGCCAAGGAGGAGGAGAAGGAGGAGTCTGACGACGACATGGGTTTCGGACTCTTCGACTAAGCGCGTCGCCAACCACCTCTTCACGATGTATGATCCAGCAAATCTCTCGACCATTACGAGAATCATGCGCAACGAGTTCGATTTGGGGAGTGTCGAGCGAGCACTACAAGGGATTTGGAGAAGGACACTGCGGCATTACTAGATTAATTGCCTGCTGAGATACCCGGAATGAAGCCATGCACCCTCAAACATTCAGCAGTTGTACTAGTGTCGTGTGATGCCCGACCAATTTCGCATGGTGACTGTGATTGTTTAGTATGGCCACCTTTGACTAGAGATGCGTTGTCTCCAATTAGACCAGGTCCCAGTCTGAGCTAAGGCGCATACTTACCTGCTTGCGACATGTCATGTCAAATCTCGCGACTGGCGAACCGACAGTGAGATGTATAGGGATACCACAGCCACCATGAACGAGCATAACAGAGAATGTTATGATCTTGGGAAAGTATTGAAGTGACCTCGGATCATCATCTAGACTTAGAGAAGAATAGTCGCGTGTGAACTCACTGCGTCATCAGGTATTTGGAGTCGTTAAAACGCATCCTATATAAAGCGGGGTTGGGGTGAGGATTCTTTTGCAAGATCCGTAGAACGTAGTAACTGGTTACAGTTGTGCAGCGACAAATCATCATCACAAATATGTTCACATCAGTTTAGACGTTCTCGTGTTGGTGAATCAATAGCATGATCGCAGCTGCCCGTCTGGACTGGCGCTAAAAGGCCTCGCTTAGCGCACGGGGCAGCTACACCTCCAGGGCTCTAATTTCAATATCGCCCATCGAGAACTGACGACCGACAACTACCCTCGCGACCCAACGAAGTTCTCCCATCACTTCGACAACCACAAACATGGCTGACGCTGACTACGATCCCGAGGCCGCAGCTGGTACGCCCTTGCCCTCCGCACCAGACCTTCCCATACTCCCGCACCGCTCTCCCTGGATACGTGCACAACGTGATGGACATGGCTAACGAACACAACAGCCCTTAAGGCCAAGAGGGCGTTCCGCAAGTTCTCTTACCGCGGCGTTGACCTCGACCAGTACGTCTTCCGATCCCCGCGACTCCTCGAACGCGCTGGAAATGCATACAAGTGTGGCGGTATTCTGATCGATATACAGGCTCCTCGACCTCGGCTCTGAGGAACTCCGCGACCTCGTCCACGCCCGTGCCCGCCGCAGGTTCAACCGTGGTCTTAAGCGCAAGCCCATGGGTCTCATCAAGAAGCTCAGGAAGTCCAAGCGTACGCACCACTGTCCGCCCAGCCGACGGGTCATTGCTAACACAAGACAGAGGAGGCCAAGCCCAACGAGAAGCCCGACCTCGTCAAGACCCACCTCCGTGACATGATTGTCGTCCCCGAGATGATCGGCTCCGTCATCGGTGTCTACTCCGGAAAGGAGTTCAACCAGGTCGAAATCAAGCCCGAGATGGTCGGCCACTACCTCGCCGAGTTCTCCATTTCATACAGGCCCGTCAAGCACGGAAGGCCGGGTATTGGTGCCACTCACTCCTCCCGTTTCATTCCTCTCAAGTAAACGAACTGGGTTTTGGTTGCATGGGTTCTTTCGTGGGGCGGATATGTACTTGATGACCTACAATGAATAAGGTGTTAGGTGCATTTACTCTCGATGGCGTGACGTACACAACGGTCACAGCGGGCATGAAGATATGGTGTAGATAGCACCACCATGACATTCGAGATACCTCCAAGACTGCTCCTTCATTACGTGACATGCACATGTGATGGTGACGATGCAGTTCTTGGTTAATCAAACATGGCGCTATACTGCACTTCACATTCCAACGTTCACATTATACCACGACATGGTAAGCCAACGAGACGATGGATAACAGTAATCAAATTGGGTATTGTTACAATAAGAGAGTCGACAAGGATGCGATGCTGCTATCTCCCAAGGCGCATCTCGACCTTTGCAAAGTTGTACAAGGCTCGCAGGAAGACCTGGTAGTTGACACCCTTGTTGTCTGGTAGGTGGCTACATTGTATATCAGTAGGGAGTCAGTGGTTCAAAGTATGGCAACTTACAAGATCTCTGTCAACCTCAGCTGCCACGGTGGGTATCCTTTGAGTTGCACTGTAGGACTGAACAGAATCAGAAGATCTGGTTCACTCGAAACGTGGTCGTTCAACTGCGCATCAATCAGGTCCGTGTTGATCTGCTCTTGTCGTACGTCTCCCTTCTGGGCCATCTCGGCTAGTGTGCGCGTCAGGTCGACGATGGTGTCGCGGCCGTCGTGTTCGGAGAGGAGGAGGACGGTAAGATGCTGGCGTTCTTCCCCTTTGAGGTCATCGTCTGCACTCTGAGGAGGCGTGTTGGGAGGAGAGTAGGAGGATAGGTGCGGCGCACGGAGGGAGAGCGTAGGCTTGCGATGGGGTCCGAAGTAGGCTTCTAGGGTTGACCAGATGGAGGCGTGGGTCTGAGGGAGGTAGTTCTTAAGTACACCTGTTCATTCTTGTCAGCATAGCTCTACAGTCAGAATGGGAAAGACTTACCCGTCCGTTCGTAGACGCTCAGAAAGGGTATGCCGGCACTCGCGGCCCAAGCTGCTATCTCACAAACATCGTTTACAAGTCCTTCTAATCCGGCTGTACCCTGGCTTCCGTCGTCCTCTTGGTATTCAACTATCACACTGAGGTGCTTGGGCAGCTTCTCGAGGTCTTTGACATCGTGGGCGATGAACTCTGGAGTCCGGTGATGGTACTTGAGCAGCGAGACGACCTTGCCCCTGACAAGTCGGTAGGCGCGACGGAAGCGGAAGAAGATGCTGAATAAGAGAGCGACGACGTGGTAGATTGCGAGGTGGAGGAAGGTCTTGATGGGGCCTGCGAGTGGCTTGCGGTTCTGTTGGGCTGCGCGTTGGCGGCGGTCGCGCAGGGCCTTCTTCTTCTGCGCCTGCGTCTCGCTGTCGGAAGGTTCGGAGGGGAGAAAGGGCTTCAGAAGTTCTTCGCGTTGCTGGACGGAGAGTTGCTTGCTTCGTCTAAAAGCGGCCTCTTGCGTGGGAGTCAGGCCTGTGGTAGCCATTACGGGCGGTGTGGAGGGTATTGAACAACAAAATGAACGGGACAGTCAACGTCTATGGGAACAGGGTCAAGTAGTTGAAGTATGACAGAAAGGAGAGGAACAATGCGCGCGTTAGCTGGCCATGTCTGGTAGACGTAAGATGATGAAATATCCCGGTGAGGCTGGTGCATACGAAGTACGTGTGGCGCCGTGCCTGCCGAGCACAGCCAAGTACAGACGCGCATTCCGCCTGCTCCGCCATGCGCTGAGGCGTCATTACGCGGACGCTGTCGCAAGTACTGTGAGGCTGTAGACAAGGAACGCATTGTTTTGCATCTTTGTATACGGCCTACCCAGACAGGATTGGTGGCATCATAGTGCATGAGGTCACCCGTTGTTCGTTCGGCTGGAGCTGCTGCGAACCTTGGATTGCGGACCTGGTACCGAGGCGTGGGGTATCCACAGGTGCGACAAGCCACAGTCGCGACTCGGACATGTTCCAAGCTGCATCACCACATGCAAATCACTGCAACAGGAGACATCTACGCCTAATACCATGCGGGAGTGAAAGAGGCGTGTCCATTAGCAAAACCCGGCAATTTCATGCCCCGCGACAGCTCAATCAGCACCTCCAGGGCAACCGGGGGCATTGGCGCGCTGGGCTGCTACGATAGACGTCCGTGATAGTAGACTCGAGTGATACCCAGCACCCAAGGCGCAGTTGCCCACACCTCTGCAACCATGCAGCGCATCAGCTCGGATGGCTCGTCGGTACTCACCCACCAGACGTCGAGGAACTCGATACGCGCGCCGCAGTTCACCCTAGAGAAGTTCACCGTAAGCAGCCGTACAGCTTCCGCTTGGTTCCCTCTGTTGACTCTCATAGAGCAAAGATTTCCTGGTCAAAGACTTCATCGAGGACCTCTCCCAAATTGCCGTACCCGCGACACGACGCTCCGGAGGCGCTGCCGGCCAGCAGACTTTCGATCCCAAGCCGCTCATTCGCACGTTCGAACACGCCCTCACACGGCTCAACAGTCTTTCCGAAGACCTAGAAGAGAAGGAAACTGAGCTCTCCACAGCTGTGCGCCGTGCGGAGCTGCAACACAACCAGAATGTCGAATCGCTTGGGAGACGGCTGGAGACGGCCATGGACAAGTTCCAGAGGTTAGACAGCTCGCTGAACGGCAATGATGAGGGGGGTTCAGATACTGGGGGCAACGTGGCCATGCGCATTGGAGAGCGACTCGAAGAGCTCGATCGCCAGCGGAAGCGAGCCCTGGACGCAAAGTTCCTGATTGAATGCTGGCAAGAAGTCAGCGAACGGGGCGAACTCATGATCCTCGAGGACCAGCGAAAGAACGGCGACATAGTAAGGTGCGCTGAGATTGCACGCCAACTGCTGCGCATCAGCACGCGTCTCGACCCAGAGGGCAGCCAGCGAGTCAACGGAGAGGTACAAAACGGGATGAAGAGGAGAACGGTACACCAGTCGAGACACAACACGAAGGAAGTCATCGAGAAGTTCTTGGAGAATCTGGAGCAGGATCTCCTCAGCAAGTTTCAGGAATGCTATGCGCGTCCAAACTACGCTGGCATGCGCGACTGTGCCATTGCGCTCAAAGGCTTCAACGACGGAGCTAGTGTCATTGGAACATACGTCAACCAGCACTCTTTCTTCATCGACCGCATGCAATTGAATGGCGAAGACCTTGCGACAGATTTGGAGACTTGGGATCGCCTTCAAGATCCTGATGCGGAACCACCGGGTGTTGAGCCTACACTACAGTCTCTGATCGACGAAGTCAAGATTGTCGTTCAAGATGAGTCCGCCATCATCAAACGAGCATTCCCGTACTACGAGGAGGTGCTCATCAAGTTCCTCGAGCGCATCTTCCAGCAGTCGATACAAAGTCGGTTAGAGATGGTGCTCGACAAAGCAGGAGAATTGTCTTCGCTCGCATTTCTGCGTTCACTGCAGGCATCTAGGAGCTACATCACGCAGTTGGTGGACGATCTAAAATCACATGGGTTGACAGAGCACCCGGAGCCTGCCACTTCTGCGGTCGCAGCTACCCTTGATCAGCAGCTGGAAGAGCTCTTCTCCTCCTACTTCATTGGAGAGAAGTACATTGAGCGGGAGAAGAAGAATCTGGAGGAGCTATACTCCTCGCTATTGCTCAAGTTCACCATCTACCACTCGCGACGTAGCAAAATGCCAACCTCGTACTTTGGATCGCTAGCCCAGCGAGGCAAGGAATTGGCTGCATCCGCTCGTGACAAGTACATGGAACGCCTTGAAAGCACCGAGTTGCCCGCCAGTCAAAAAGCAACGCTGCTTCGCATTGCTGGCTTGAAAGAAGACCAACAAGAGAAGAAAGACATTGAGGTGACTGATGAAGATGGCAGGCTATCGCTACCAGTCGCTAAGCGTATGCTCAAGTGGCTAGCAGAAGGTGTTGGGCGTGGACTTGAGCTGTCGCCTGGCAATGAGACGCCGAAGGACGTGCAAATACTGCTAAACCTACTGCTACGGCAGATGGGCGAGATCTATCTGGAGACGGCACTAGACGCGTAAGCCATACCTGCTTGGATTACGCATCCTTACTAACACCAAAACAGTGCACAAGACCATGCCGTTTCTCAAGAGAACTCCAAGACAGCCCCTGATCTCGCTCACTTCCCATCGCTGCACGCCATCACCACAATCCTACATCTTCTCCAACAAACCACTACAACCATCGTCCTGCCCCTTTGCACACCCAATCTCACCATTCGCCGCGACATCGAAAAGTCCGCGAATAGCACAACTTCGACCCTTGAATCCAAACTATCCAACATCCTCAATCTCACACTCACAGCATCTCTCAACTGGGTGAGCAGATGTCTGTCTCAACAGAAGAAAACCGACTTCCGACCCAAAGAAGACGATCTGATGGTCACAACCGAGACACAAGCTTGTCGCGACGTCTCCGCGTTCCTGACCCGCGTCGCGTCTCAAGCCTCTGCCGCCCTCTCTGGCCGCAACCTTTCCCTCTTCCTCGCCGAACTTGCTCGCGGTCTGCGATCTCTTGTTCTGTCCCACTTGCTTAAGTTTACCATCTCACAAGTCGGTGGTCTCAGTGTATCCAAGGACATGAACCGCTATGTTGAGCTCGTGAGAGCATGGCCTACGGGCGATGAGCTGGAACCTGGTGCCATGGATGTGCTGACGGATGTCAGTACGTTGTTCATTATTGGACCGGAGGCGTTGAGGGATAGGCTCAGGGCTGCGGGTGGACAGGATGCGCAAGAGCTGAAGGGCTTCATTGCCAGGAGAGATGATGTTGGAACTGTGGGGGTGCAGAGCGTGCTTAGTGGTTTGTAAAGATTTAACGTTCTTACAAGATTTGCGAATCTACGAATGTATTACACATATGTTGAACCTGTGAATGGACTAGACGGCGAACGTCATCCCGCACATGTGCCACGAGTTTCGCTCCCTCATCAACCAATCACCATGATGCCAGCATCCCGACGCCACGCGCAGCCAAGCAATAAAACGCATGCAGGGTCCGGATGTTGCGGGTTTGGATGTGAACAATCGAGTTGGTAATTCAGACTTAAAGGCCTCGATTCTTGGAAAATATGGTTCGGCGCATGTCATCAGTACTTAGCGGGGAGGAAGTGACGTCCAGCGAAAGGTGCCGTGCTGCACACCATATGGTGTATAAGAGGAAGTAACGACCCATAAATCTGGCTGTCACAACATCAACATCATCGACCGTCGTCTCCAAAGATTTTACATTCCTCTCATGAATACATCTCCTCCTACACCCAAGACCAGTCCTCCCAACCGCAACCATTTGCATCACAAGCGCCCTCGTGGCGTTGCTCGCCTGCTTCAGCGGCAAATCGTCATCGCACTCACGTTCACGCTCACGATCGCACTCATCGAAGTCGAGATCGAAGTCTAAGCCGAGACGAAGTTCAAGCAAGCGCTCTACACGTTCTGGGCATCCGCATAGGAGTTCGAGAGATTATCCGCATCGTTCGCACGCTCCGAGGCGCGTTTACTAGGTGGTCAATCTTTTGGGGTCTATGGGATGGGCTGTGTTGTTTAGACGATGAAGAGGAGGGGCGGTTATGGTGCGTAGGAATCCGTCTGGCGTATCTGTACCATCAAGCTTGTTGGCATCATGAAGGCCATTTTCAGTAGCGTTGAAAGCGTTGCGCTCAATCAATATCTGGCACTCATATGTCATTTGTGCTGAAACTTTCGGCCTAATATTGACGGCCCTGCCTGTCTAATTCACACTCACCGTCAAATCCAGTCTCCTTTCATCCTTCATCGCTCATCGCTCATCGCTCATCGCTCATCGCTCATCGCTCACCACACGCTAGCGTTGTTCACCGTGTGCCAGCCAACTACAATCAGCCTGGCTCTTGACCTCCAAAACCACTACGCTCCACTCCACATCATGGCGCGCCCCGAGGTCAAGAAGATGGCTCTGAAGATCACCGCACCAGTCAAGACCAGCCGCGTCGTGAAGACCAAGAGGGCGTACCAAGTCAAGATCAAGATTGGCAAGCACGCCGCTAGGTAAGTGATGATCCGGCTATGTGCTGTTCGTGCTCTACTAATCAGATGACCTATAGGAACTTACATAATCGCAACTCTCCTCTTCTCCGTCTCCCAGGAGAGATACGCAACCAGATCTACCACTATGTCATCGGGGGTCATGAGGCCTGTCCGACCTGGGATAGCCGAGATTGCCTTGACGTCGAGCTTCGCGCTACTCGATACAACACAAGCGGTGGCACCCGGGAAGGCTGGGCTGAACTATTCACACTTAGCTATGTGTGCAAGCAGCTCAACATGGAGACGAAGAACCTTCCATATGAACTCACCGCCTTCCAGTCAGACATATGCGCTGCATTTGACCGATTCCTGTGTCAGCTTAAGGAGGAGAAGAAGGAACTCATCACCACCGTTTCCTTTGGCTTCAAGCACTTCCACAGTGTTAGCGACTGGACCGACGCGCAGTTCCCCACCCCGGCTGAGCTGTTCCGCTGCACTTCTCTGAAGACCGTAATCTCCCGCATCACGCTCGGTCAAGGTCAGAAACTCTTGGTGAAGCTGATCGCTCGACACATGAGAGCGCGTATCGTTCTCGAGAACGACCATCTCGGCTACATCTACGATGGGGGAGACGAGTATGAAGAAGACGAGTATGAAGAAGACGAGTATGAAGAAGACGAGTATGAAGAAGACGAGTATGAAGAAGACGAGTATGAAGAAGACCACGAAGTTTATGCTGAAGATGAAGAGTAAAGGCCTCTGGTAAGCGTATGAATACCTGCACCTCGGTTTGTTCGTGCTAATAAATTCTAGACATCTCTTCTTGAGGTGCGTGCTTCCCGTTCAGCTCAAGTACGCTTCCCAGGATTTGTCAGTCATCTGTACCGTCATGTCGATGACTTTACTTCTTCGATACCTTCATTTCGCGAACATCTTCAGCGTTCTCGATCACCCATCGCGTGCGGCATTTTCTACTTTGTTACGCACAGTGGTGACAGAAGTTTTGAGCGCTTTCCTAGGCACCTATGTGGAAATGGAAACTATGCTTCGAACTTGAACACTCTGTAGAGATCCGTTGAATCGTTGTCTGTACCCATAGCTACGTATGATGGAAGACTCTAAGGAGTAGGTGGTTTCGTAGCACATAGGGCACAAAAGGCATCGACTTGATCTCAAGATGGTTGATTTATGTACTGCTTCATCGTGTGATCTTCGATCTTCCACACTATCTACCAACTTATTCTCTACCCCGATGGCTCAATGGTAGTTATCCACAATTTCATAATGAGTATGAAATTGCTCATCAACCCTTCGAAAGCCTCGAAGTGGCCCTTTGCTCTGCACTGACTTCGCTTCAAGCCACTTCTGCAGTATCACTATCAGCCTCTCTTCATAGACTGCCTCAAGTCGTTCAAACGTCTGCCATTTATGCTCCCGCAGTAATTCCAGATGAAGCAAGTCTGACCTACATCGCACGTCAGTAAGAATACGTTACTGGACTATTTCCGTAAGTTATAGACCACTCACCAGTATATCCCAACCTCTACTTTCTTCCCCTGTATAGCGCTGCCGATCTCCTCAAAGCACTCTCGCAGAGGTATATTCGTTTCGATACCACTCCATTCCCACTCTTCCATGGCTTTCATATCCTCGGTCGTTGGTAGCGTTTTGGAAAAGATTAAGTGATCGCGTGGTAGACACTCGAGCACATGCAAGCCAATGTCGAGATGGGTAAGTGCCGGGAATTTCGCTAGAAGATTTGATGCAAACCATAATCTAGACTGCTCCACCAGACCGTTTTTTTCGTCAAACAGGCGGATCGAATACAAAGGCAGCGAAAGCTTCCGTATAAGAGAAAGGTTATGTGCCCCAATCTTCAGCGAAAACGTCGTGAGGAGACTCTGGTAGCCGTATTTCCCGTGTGCGGGTATGAAGTTGAAGCAGTAGAAGCCGAAGAAGTAAGTGCGCACCTCTTGTGAGATTTGGCGGCTGGTCAACATGAGACTCCAGAGGATTGGTCGCGCGGATGATTGGAGTGCTTGAAAGTTGCGGCGGTAGCAAAGGCGGACACCGACCGAGAGTGAATCAGGGTCGCGTTTATTGAAGAGATATCGGTAGATTTGCTGTCGGACTTCTAGGGGAAGCTTTTCGAAAGAAGATTGTGCGGGTTGAGTCGGAGGGCATGAGACAGTAGGGTTTAGTTTTATCGCAGATAGGGAAGTCGTGATGCCGTCTAGTTTTGCGGATGAGGAAGACATGACTGAGATATGTTGCCCGATGGTGCTGCAGGATCGTGAAGATGAATACAGAGTGAATTGAGGGATCAAGAAGGTAGAGCTATAGTTGACTGCGTGTATTGTTGATGAAAACCTGCACCCGGGTAGATAAGTAGGCTAGGGGACTGTGCAAAGTCCAAACCGCGGGAGCTCGTAGCTCACCTAGTTAGATTCGCCACATGTACTCGCAGAGAAATGGCGCACCAATTCACTCGACCTGTCAGCGCTTCATAGCAAAAATCCTAGCTCTTTATTCTCTTCACGCGCTCGCTAAGTCGCTACAGTCTTGCTGGCTTATCGAATGCAAAAAGCGACCTCCCCCTCTTCTCACCATCTTGCCATACCCATCCGCTTTTACCCACAATCTCGACCGCACCACTGGCCATCTGTCGCAAAGTACTTTCATCTCCATGGTTCGAGAGGAAACGTTTGTTGCTGCTCTTTAAGCGACCAATAATGTGACCTCGAAGCGGGCTACCGTCTCGGTTGAACTCTACGGTGTAGGTTTCGACAACAGCCTCGCCCTCTGGGTCGAAAACGAGCTCAGGCGCGGGCACATCAGTAATCTGCGGCGATAGAGGGTTCTCTGTCGGATAGTTTCCTTCTCTTCTAGGCTCTTTTGACAATATGACGACGTACTGATAGCTCAGAACGCCGCCATTGCAGAGCACCAGTCCTTTCTGGCCTTTGTCATCTCGCAGCTGCCGCGTCATTTCAGTGAGCGCATGCATTGAGTAGTTATTGCCAGCTCCGCCGAACGATGTCAGGCCCCCAAGTATCGTCAGTGGCTTTTGACGACCAACCACAGGTATTCCTAGATGCTGCGCCGCGATCTTAGGCACAATAGGGAAGCAGGAGTAGATATCAACGATATCCATCTCTTCCTTGGTCGTACCAGAAGTCTCCAAACTCGCATCGATAGAGCGCGATATACTGGGCGAAGAGTAGAAGTTCGGTCGTTTCCAGAACTCATCGGCGTCCTTCGTTCCCGCGCCGCCAAGCGGATAAACCCATTTCGACTCGGGAACACCTAAGGTTCTGGCGAAGGAAGTCGATGTAAGGATGATTGCAGAGGCAAGATTAACCGTATTAAAGGCATTCATAAGCAGGGGATCTGCGCGTGTGATGTAAGCGTCCGTTCCTAATGCGGAAAGAGGTGAGACCCACAAGGATAGCATATCATCCTATTCTTCTTCCCAACAGTCTTGATGTCTTCCTCACTACTTGAAGCCCCTTGATTCCATGCGTACTCATTATTCTTTGCGACGTCCGCAAATTCAGCATACAGCTTTGCACTCTCTTCGTGGTTTGCCTTCAGTGTCTGTCCGCGATGCGCACGGAATGCGTTCTCGTAGAGTGGGTAGACATGTATTGGCGCGCCAATTTTGTGAATAGCACCGAGGTCTTTGCCAGAGTCAGTAGAGGAAAGGGATTGCCAGAGAGAGGAAACCGCACTATTTCCTAGGTCGCGACCTGTTGGTGTGAAGACCGAATCTACGGCTTCGGACGGAGCTGTCCAGCCTGGTGGGGGAAGTTTCTTTGCAGCTGCGCATGCGGATACTGGTACAGTTAGTAATGAGTGGAGACGGCGGAAAGGCATGCGCTGCGTACACGAAGCTAATGCTTCACCTCCTGTTACAACCGCGACTTTGCATTCGCCTTTTGCAATTCTTTTAGCGGCCTCATCGAAGAGCTTTCCTGGTTTATCGCCTCCATGTTCGGAATATCTCTTCCATTTCAGACTCTGATCAACGCCCAGCTTCTCTGCCAAAAGCCCGGGTAGATCTGGATACGGCCAAGTCCACGTCTTGACGACATCGATGCTGTCGATTGCTGACTGCAAATCGGTCTTCGAAAGAGATGCAGTGTCGCTGATGGCTTTCTGGATGGCTTCTAGCATTAATGTCGCGGGCTCCTTCGCATCCGCGATAGCGGTGGAGCGGTTCTTGATGTCGCCTACGCCGATGATCACGGGAGTATTGGTGGACGTCATGTCGTGTCAACAGAATAAGCGTAAGACGGGTGCAGTTTGACCTCTCGTTGTGCAATGCAGTTTTACTTATGTCACGTACTCCGTGATTGAAAGCATGGCTTCCATTGCATGTCGGAGAGTCATGGTTGACGTGAGGAGTCCGATTTGCCGAGGTACAAATGACGCGACCACTGCCGCACGCGCTGCTCATGTCCTCGACGCGTCAGTTCCGGTCATCGCGATTGATGCATTATCTGCAGCAGTCCTCCAGTCTCTCCATGCAGCGTATAACAATACGACAAAAGCCTGTCCCTCCGGATTGATACCGTTGAGCGGCGTCTGCTGCCCCTCCTTCAGTGAGTTGACCACAGGTGCCGCAACACCAGTTTCCTCATCTAGATGGTGACTGACAGACTCCAACTTACGCGTCGCCCATCCTACATACCGTTCCCCGAATGTGCCAGGCTCGAGAACCGCCATTCTGAAGACCGTAGCTGCCATTAACGCTGTCCCAGCAACCTCTGCAAACCACGTCTCGTCATCGAGATAGTTGCGCAACAGGCCGGATGCATCAGTATCAGCCTCCATCGCGCCGTCAAAAATGACTTTGGTCATATCTAGTAGCATACTCTGCTCATCAGCGGTTTCCGACGCATATCGAGATTTGCGCAGAGTTGCTAGGACCCTAGTCATCCCAGCTGCAGCCCAGGCATTGCTCGTACACCACGCGCCATCATCGCTCTTTACGCTGTTTGTGCCCTCGGCATTGGCGATGTGTCGCCAATACCCTTTCGACGTACCTAGCACCTCGCAGTATAACTGGCACTGCCGTACACTCTCTTTCACCATGCCTAGATCTGAGGTGAAGACACCGTGGTAGGCAAGAGCAGGCGGCACCATGTAGATGAAGTCTGCCCACAAAGAAGAATACGCATCGCGATGCGATATCGCGCCATTGCCGTATCTGGGCGTGGTGGAGAGCAGGTCGTGCAGCTGGCGATCGGCAGCGGAGAGGTAAGGATTGTCAGACGACTGGAAGGTTGTCGATTTGTAGAGCAACAAGGCCGGAATGCAGAGAGATGTCGGATCGGACGACGAACCTGATTACTGCCCTTAGCATGCGTTGGACGAAATGTGAGAGGAGAGAGCTTACCGTTACCTTCGCACAGTCTCGCGCTATTCGTCTGTATGAATGGTTTCACATATTGCAACGCTTCTACATCCTCTACCGTCAACTCTGGTATCTCGCCTCCGGGAAATGGGTCATGAAAGATGCTGTAATGAGGATCTCTGTACTCGAGTAGCGCTTCAAAAACGGTGCCGTACTCCCAGCTATGTGACGCAGTTTCCTGCGCTTTGGAGAGAACCTTGTCGATCACAACCTGTAGAATCATTTCGCGAACTTCTCGATTGATGCTTTATGTTTGTTGGTTCCTAGAATCGACGGGGATTGTAGCTTCGAAGCGCGTGCATACACGTCTGCGATATGACGTTCGCGACGCGCG